CCCCAAAACCCCAAAACCCCAAAACCCCAAAACCCCAAAACCCCAAAAAAGAAAATTTAAATTGAATCTTTCTTTTATTCTTTAGAAATCCCATTGACTTCAATATGCCTAATACGGACTATTTTTCCTCCTTGATTACTCCTGAGGCATCTAATTTTCAGGTATTTTACTATATTCTCTCCTGGTAGGGTTAATCGCTGAATTTCATCATCTGATCACTCAAAAGCTTCTAGAAAATCCCATGTATTCGGAAATTGAGAGGTATATATTTCAACATTAGCAGGACCTCCATCTCCTCCATGAATCAAGATCTCAGAAACGAATCATTTCCTACCATGATTCAGCGTGAGATCTATATCTGGTGTCAAAGCTTTGTATAAGGTATCATCATCTTTCAATACATTCTCAACCACATTATAAGGATCATTTATAGAATCCCATCTGGAGTATTGATAAGGATGCTGAATTTTTATTGGCAATTTCCTGGAATTCTTTGTATCAATAGCCATTCTTTTTACATTCCGGCTCAACTCGTCAAGCATACCATCCAATTGGTATGAATTCGAGCCAAGATTTTTCTCAATTTCCTTCAAATGGCCAATCTTGGTCTCCTCGCCAAACTCTTCGTTCTCTCTGCTTTGCAACTGTTGATGCAGCTTCTTATTCTCGTCAAGGAGTCTTCGGAGCTCCTCTTGGATATTACCTATAAACGCTTCGTCTTTCTCCCTCTTTTTGACCTCATCCAATTCGTAGTCCTTAAAGGATCTGCGTGAGTCAGATTCTTCATACTTGAAGCTGCTAGCTTCGATGTTGTGGAGCTTGATCAGACTGTTTATCTGGGCTAGGTTCTCGTCTAATTTCTTCCTCTTGTTTCGTTCCTCGTAAAACTTTTTCATAGCGAGGTTTCTCTTGATTAGCATTTGGCATTTCATGACTTGTTCACGAGTGTTCTGGAAAGCATTGGTAAACTGGATAGAGAGTACAGTTCCCTGTATTTTCAAGATTGCATTTCTCTTCTTGAGGAATAACTTTCTTTGTTTAAGTCCTTTGAAAATACTTTGAATCTTAACAATAGCTTCCTCCTCAGTCTGCTTCTTTCTGTTCCTATACCTAATTCTGGTGATCATTCCTTTAGCTCTTGCCTGAATGAGGATAAGAGCTCTTCAGCGGCGCATGAATTCTAGTCTACCTTTGTATCCTCTCCATATTCTTTGGATTTCAATGACAAATTCCTCTTGTGCAAAAGCAAGAGCCATATTTGCGTCCCATCTCTCTTCAGCATCAACTTTTAAAAAATTTTCAATGATTATCTCTAATCTTGGATAATTCTCGAGCCTTGAAGAGTCATAATTAGCTGTTAAAAGATCATCTCTAAACTCATCCTCATTAGAAACAGTAAAGGGATGCTCTCCTGTAGCAATCTGATACATTGTAACACCTAGAGCCCACATATCAGCAGATGTGCTGTATTTCTCAAGTTTGAGGACTTCTGGAGCCCAATATATCAATGTATGAGGCATTGACTCTCCAATAAGAATTTTTGAAAATAACTGATGAGTATGCCTTGCTGAGTCTAACTCAACCTTAGCCATCTCACCCAGAAGAGCAACATTTTGATCATTAATATAAATAGAGCTTGGCTTGACACTACCATGAATAATATTGTTGTTATGAAGTAAAGACAGTGCCTTGCAGATATCTCAAAGGTATTTAAGTATCATTTTGTAGCTAGGTCTCTCATCATTAAGCACTACTCATCGAAGCATATCTCCAAAAACTCCTTCTTCGAAAATAGCGACCAAACTTTTGTATCAGTAAGGGTTTTGGGACTTCTCTCCCCAGTAAGTATACAGAGTAGTTATATTAGGATGATTTCGGAATCGCATAAAATGGTCAAACTCATAGACCTTCAAGTCATAAATCCTTCTATCAATGCAATCCAGTCTTTTTAAGACCAATGGTTGCTCGCTTAAATGTGGTGCTGCTGCCCTACACCTGAACACATCTCCCTGAATAATGGCCAGATCTCCTCTCTTAATAGCTAGTGCTTGTTCATAGTCTATAACAAGGTCTTCGATACTATTTTATCTTAAAAAGAGTTAATTCATTGTTGCCATAAACTTCTCCTAAACATGAAATTGAAAACCTCACCTGTGTCTCCATAAGGAACAATGGCGTTCTTATGTAACGGTTGCAACTTCACTCCTCCATAAGTTGGCTTGTCATAACCCATGTCATCAAGCAAAGCAAGATGGTTTTTCTTTGAATTATTCTTCTTCCATTTATCAATCTGAGAATACGACCCCCTTGTGCTGTCAGCAAGTTGGTAAGACATTTTCAATTATTTATTATAATTTTGGGGTTTTGGGGTTTTGGGGTTTTGGGGTTTTGGGG